CAAGAGAAAAAGAAAAGTTATTTTTTTCTGTCACAATGAAAAGTTAAGTGGGATACAAAAGTCTGTAGGTTATGACCAATAAAATGGAGGACAAAAATAAGAGAGGATTGATGCATTCTGTGTAACACTTTTTTTGTTTTCTTTTAGGAATCTGCATGAGCCTTTCTGGCAGCCCTTAAACTGAGTGCCTTTTCTCTAATGTTTATGAATGGAATGCTGCCTGGATCTCAGTGGTACTGCTTCAAAAACAGCTGAAATAAATTGACAGCATTTGAAAGCTCTTTGGCAGTTGGATTTACAATAAAGCAGCTGTCTGAGAAGATTTCAAGGAGCAATGTGGTCAAAGACCAGAGGCAGCTAACTGCGTGTTGTTCCTCATTCAGACATAGTTTGATGGATTGAACACACAGCTAAGGAGATTATGTAATGAAAAGCGGTAGAATAGTCTTCTGAGTATATGATCTAACAGCAGATGTGTGACAGGAATTTGTCCTTTATTATATTGGCAAAAGGAAGCATTTGATAGGATTTGCAACAAGCTGTGTTGAATCCCTGTAAATGTGCCAAGAATCCTAGCACTGCAAAGAATCTTTTTTTTTTTTTAAGAAAAATGAACATTTCTGATTTGTCTATACTTATTTATTGTGAACTTGGAAACATCATCTGCTGTCACAGTTCAGTATTGTCTAAGTGTTTATGTGGAAAAACACATTGTAGAAATTGGAAAGCAGTGCTCAAGAGCCTTTTGCACGACTCTTTATAGGGCAGCTCTCTGATGTTTATCTTGAACTAAATCCTGGTGGGTTCATTGCTGCCTACTCTGGAGGTAAAATAACTCCAATTTTCAATGAAATATTTCTCCTATAAATAACTGCTGTTATATGCTGGTGTTTGACAGAATTTCATAATTCAGAAAAACACATTAGATGTCATTTATTTCAGTAAGAATGTTTTGTTAATTATACCGGGCATTTATTATGTCAGTGAAATTTAAAGTGCTTTTTTATACATTTTTTTAAAAAAGAAGTTTAAAATAAAGCCTGAAATTATAAAAGCATTTGGCCCTTTGGTCAGTGTCTCAGGATCCTAGGATTCCTTAAATTTCTTTTTTTGAAAAAAGAAATGAACAGAGCTAGAGTAGAAGGCATCCAGGACCTGAAACTATCTATCATTTCCAACCTTTTCCATGTCTCCAAACTAGACAAGAAAAATATAGATCAGCAGTGGGACTACTCAAAAAGAAAATCCCATTGCTTGAAAAAGTAGGTAGAGATGTATATATTAGTAATTATTTCTGCTCTTTAAAATTGTAGTCAAGAGAGCATTAGAATAGTTCTGCCACTTTGCAATCCTATTCCCTCTTGTGGATAAAAATCGAATTCAATGGAATCTATTTTCTCAGTAGAAATGGATAAAATTTCAGTCTTAAAGGCTACACTTTTAAACCCACTAATACATAATTGAGGGAATACAATCTTATATATACTTATTTGAAATGTAAGATTCACAAGAAAGTAGGATACAAGGTCAGATATGTACGGCAGATAGGTATGCAAAGATCAGGATACTATGTTAACATTATTATTGCAAAATTCATGTTTATATCATTTTTGCATGAGGAACCGTATATTTATGTAAACTTTGTAAATAAGCTGACATGCATTTCAGTATTCTGTAAAACTTTTGATAAAATATGTATAGAAATTTCACCTATGAAAGCTCTTTCCTAAATTAATTTTGTCATCTTTATCCATTATCTATGCTATCTATGGACAATGGTAATTTTGTATGTGTAATTTACACTTTATATAATTAGATTACTCACCAGCCCACATATTAAAAATGAAGTATAAATTATGTATAATATACTGTTCATAAAATGTTTGATTCAACTAAATTCATATTGATTATGTTGCCTATGTCAAACAGTGATATATGCAAAAAGATTGAATGATTAATTATCAGCCATCAAGTTAGTGTCAACTTGATGATCACATAGATAGACCCTCACCGGTATTATCTGTCCCTACTACGTCCCTTCAAAACTTTCAGTGGTACAGCCATTACACCCTATTCTTCTCTTTCCTTCAATCTTTCCCAACATTATGGACTTATCAGGGGAGCTAGGTCTTTGTATAATGTTTCCAAAATATGATAATTTGAGCCTGGCCATTTGTGTTTTAAACGAGAATTTTGGCTGACTTGTGTGATCAGTTCGTTATTTTTTGGCTACTGATGTTTTCTCCTGAGTCTTCTCCAACATTCAAAAACTTCAGTACTCTTTCTTTTGTGTTTATTCAAAGTCCAACTTTAGCCTGCATGATTCTGATCGTTGTAGGTCACAGCATCTATATATATTTTTTCTAAGGTTTTCATTGCTGCCCTTTCATGTGCAAGTCTGGCATATTGTTTTATTACTTTATAGCTGATAAGGGATCCAAAAATGTGAAAACTATTCTCCATTTCAGTATCTTCATTGTCAGTTCTAAGGCAGGTTGCTGTACTAGTTATTAGTTTGGTCTTCCTTATATTTAATCTTTCCATTTTTTCACTGGGCTCGACTTTGATTATGAGAGCTTGCAGATCATTTTCAGCTATTAGAGTAGTATAGAAAAGGTTACTGCTGTTTCTTCCTCCAAAT